GGTGGTTGGTAGGGGGGGGCGCCTACGTCTAGTTATTGAGACCTCGATACGATGGTGTCAGGTGCTGCTTAGCAACGCGGTCAACAAGAGCTACTGTACTTATCATCATGATTCAGGCGTTGAAACCTAAACCCTTGCACACTACATCGGATCGTTATCCTGAACCTCGAATTTCTCATGAGGCTGTCCATCTTACCGGGTATAGGGTTTAGACTATGAATTTCAACTGGGTTAGAGTTTGGGGCTATAGAGTTTAGACTGGTTTAGAGGCTTTAGTGTTTGGGGCTATGGCTTAGACTGGTTTAGAATTTAGGGCTGTGACGCTATCCATCTCACGGGTGGGTTTATTTGGAGACTTCTTGCCCTACCTCCCGACCTTACAGACCTCAAGCACCAAGTTCCTGCAGAGGCATGGACGTAGCTACGTAATGATCGTCATATGTGACAGCAACAGCAGCTGAAATGAGAGCACCTGCAAACTCCAACGTCCTAACTCCACCCTCAAGGCTGAAGCCATGAACAGTACTCCGGGCTTCGGAGTACCATACTTTAATACTTGTTTGGGGGACCTGTTCCTTAAAGGAGCCATTATGAAATAAACGTCTATACTTGTTTATCCCTGGTTACTTCAAATCCCAGTACTTCATAACCTTGACCCCTTAAACCCCGAAGCTATGATTGCATCCTGCAGAAATTCCAGAAACCCGAGGCCCAAAAACCCCTGCATTTTAGGCCCAAGGGGCCTACAGCATCACGTGTGGCGATTTAGGGTCTGATTGAGGGCCACCGTTTCCTGTCGCAAAACCCGTATAAAATGCCGTAGAAAGAGATTTCATAAAGTCGAGCAAAACCTGTAAACAAAAACTATCCCTGACACCCCTCTAGACACCCTTTGTGAGATCCTCCCCATACCCTAAATAAACCCTACACCATATAGATCCCTATAACTATAGACCCCTTGAAGGAGCCCTTAAGGAACCCTTCAAAAAGCGGCGGTTCCTACAAAGCGAAGCCGCGAGTCGAAAAGCGAGCCAGCTGACAGGACATTTCGATCTCCGCTGCCTCATCAGGAGCTCAAGGGCTCCGTTAGTGTAAGAAGTCTTCAAGGGTTTCTAAAAAGTATGAGAAATCTTTAAGGGCTCTTGAAAGAAAGTTCTGTAAGGTTTCTGCACGGGTTTCAGAAGAGTGAGGGCTTCAGGGTTGCTGATGTTGCAAGTTCAGAATTCAAGCGTTTTGGGCTTTGGGGCCGTGCGCTGCAGGTATCAACGGTGGCTGGGGACCCGTTGAACGGCCACTTGAGCCGACAAAGCCGTATAGAATCGCAAAAAAGGGAAGGTTCCTAAAACTCCCTAAAACTGAAACCCGAAGCCCCCATAACACTTTGGGCCTGTCTGGGAAGCAAGAGGATCTCGTAGGCCTTCAAAACAACCCAGAGCATGCCGCAATCTGGGAGGTGATTTAGGCCTTAGGCTTTAGGATTCAAGGCTTTAGGCTTTGGGGTTTTGGCTTTAGGGTACAAGTCTTAGTGCTTAGAGTTTAGAGTTTCGCTTTTCATGGTTCTCCTTCCGATCGCTTCTCTGTAATACACAAACCCCCCAAGGGGTTACCAAGAAAAAGCTGTTCTCATGTTTGGGCCCAAGGTGCTTTTCGAAGCTGGGAGCATATGTGCATGTATGGGTATGCCTATATGGGCCTATGGGCCTATGGGCCTAAACCCTAAACCCTAAACCCTAAACCCTGGGAGATACATCCAGACGCAGAAGAGCTTACAGAGCAGCTTTGTTTGCACGATGGGACTTAGCTAACAGGACCGAACCTGACGTAGACCTGGACTACGAGTATGAAGAGAGCATTCGCCAGTCGCTTCAGTCTGCATTCAGCATCAAGGAGTTGCGGATTCTCGGGATGAAATTGATGATGGCGATTGTTTGCAATGAAGGCTTAGAGCAGATCAATGAGCTCGATTGGATCCTCGGCAAAGTAGACCAATCGCTCACAGAAGAAGTCGCAGAGAAGCAACGGAACATCACTGAAGCCTTCCAAGACGTAGGTGGCATAGGTCGCGACGACTTTGCTTTTGAAGATTTGGATGCCATGCTGAACGAAGAAGCCGTCAAGGAAATTAAGATCAAACAGTGGCTCCCTGCGCTTTACGAAAACAGCGGAAAGCTGCAGAAAGTTTATGCAACATGGAAGAATTTGACTCTGGAGCAGCATTTGGCTATACTGACGGCACGGTTGCCTCTCGACACACACACAAGCGCAAGCGACATAGGACAATGGCTTCGACCTAACACATCACGAGCAGTGAATGTCGATGAGCATTCAGGTTCGCAACTGCAAGGCTTGGAAGCAAACACTGCTGCGCATGCTGCCATTCACGGAAACCAGTACAGATTCCGTGACGGTTTGCTGCCATGGTCTGGAGTGCTCGACAACATCATGGAACGCGTCGAAAAGTCATTCGCTGAAGGAGAGCCATTCGAAAATTCTGTCGTGTACTCGTCAAAAGTCGAGCAAAAGTCGAAGCCTAGGCCCATCTATGCGGCTGATGTCGAGCTTCGCGAAGCCTTACGGGTGTTTGCCACTAGTGCAACTCGTTTAGCTCAAAGCAACCCTCGCACTTCAACTACGTACAATGTGGTTGACAAGCTCGACATGCGTGGCTCAGCGCAAGCTTCAGGTAACGATGAAAACAGCAGAGTGGCATATGTCAACCTGGACGTTAGTGCCTGGTCCCCGTCATTCAAAAGAGCAGCACACATACGACGAGTGCAAGCTATCTCGGACTTATCTTCACAAAACTTGCCACGAGGTACTTTGCGTATTGCGCTGCAAAAAGTTGACCTGATTGTGCGAGCAGGCTCTGAAAGAGGAAACTTCTGGAAGAAAGTAGAGACCGGTTCGAGCATCGATGGCTTCCCGATGGGCTGGTCGCCAAGTGCAGACTCTCTATTTCACTCAACACTCATATCTCGTGCTATAGCTGAGTTGGCGTCTGAAGGAGCCGACGATGGAACTGCATTGCGGACTTGCGCGATCTCTTTTAGCACTCAAATCGACGATGCTTCGATACGTCTTTGCTCCGAAGCATTCGGTGCGGCATCCGAAGAGAACTCGAAAGAAGACAGTTTGTATTACATGGCTCCAGCAGGCACCACTTACGAGGCACGTCGACAAGCTGTTGAAAGAAGTCCAAGCGCTCCGGTTGGCCAAGATCACGCAGTTTTAATGGACCGCTGGCGCAAAGGCGAGATCTTTGATGTGTTTAGCGCAGCGACAGCCTTGCTGCAAACAATGGAGGAGTTGTATCGAGAGGTTGGAGCGTCAGTTTCCCGGCAAAAGACGACTATCGCAAAGTCTAGCTTGTATTTAAACGAGCTGAACATACAAGGAGTGGTCGTGAAGAAAACTGGCAGCACGTTCCTGAGTGCTCTCGGAAAGCCTACTCCACGTTGCGGCTCTCCCTCCGATGCTTTGGTGGAGTCAGCTTCAGCACTGACATCGTGCAGAGATATGAACTTATCACCTATTGTGGTGATCGTGGGTCTGATGAGGCTTCCAGAGATGCTATGGGTATGGGCTGATCATTCATCTACCAATCAAATATTGCGAACTCGAGGAGACGCAGCTATGGCGATGCCAGACAGTAGTACTGAATGCACTGCCTGTCGATTGTTGATGCGCCGGCCCTTAGCACTCGGCGGGTGCTCTGCTTTGACTGCTCCTTCATTGATGTTCGGACAACATGGTGACTCGAGTGCGGAAACCTACATTACATGGCTCCTGGAAGCCGCATTAGCACCAGTCAAACGAGTTGACGGAGAAGTCGAAGCGCATCGGGTAGCCGGGAGATGCGCAGCCTTTATCATCAACAAAATGCGGATGCCTTCGGCGACTCAAGCTACACAGCGCGGCACGGTGGTGTTCATGGAGGGAGATTTCCCGCGAATGGCAAGTTTTCTACGGCAGCAAACTTTGAAGCTTTTGCGTGACATATCTGGAGAGTCCTGGTCACCGTTGGTCGACCCTCTTCGTGAGAAGGACATCGAAGCAGCGCTGAACTGCATCATGCAAGCCAACGAAGGCAATGTACTCATGAACGGAAAAGTGCTTCTTTCGTTGCATGAAGCTTTGAACAATTTGGCCACCGAAACTTTGGCACCAGCATTCGAGTCCACACGCTTGCTAAGCACAGCTTGTGGCGATCGCAAAAATACTGTGAATCGCTCGTCACTGTATTTTGGTGGTATGCGTCATGCGAAGGCTTTGTTGACGAGAGAAAATGAAGCTGGTAAAGCAGCTGCAATGCAGGATGAAGACGCTTTGATGAGACCAGAAGAGTTTGTTATGCGTATTGTTCAAGCTGAACTGTCTTTGGGCATCTATGCCTTGCACGAGCCAGGATACCTGATGATGGTGGGCCCTGCATCCTCCTACACACATGAGTCACAGCTGATCAACGTCTATGGTTATACCAAGGAGCTGCGACCAGCACTTACTACAGTGCCAGCTGAACCTTCGATCTACACTTGCAATCAAGCTCCGTTGAAAATGAAGCGGAATACTATTCCTGAAGTAGATGTGGCTCAAGCTCCTTTTCGCATAGTTGTGAAGCATTTGCTTGAGCTGACGCATTATATGCCTGCAGCTGAAACACAAGAAACTTTCCGAAGTATGTGACCGAGATCGGCGGGATCTGAAGGCCCAGGACCTCCCCGGGGCTGTGATTCGGGACTTTAAGTTGACAGTGCCAAGATGCGAGCACCAAGTCGAGGGTCTGGGAGAAAATTGGCAGCCCACTGCAGGTCAGGGAGTATGGAGGCGAGGTTGTTGGCAAGTGCACGATTCAGAAGTCTGTGACCAAGCTCGGCGCGACTTCCCCGGGGCTGTGATTCGGGACATTGTGTCGGCAGTGTCAAGCTGGGAGTACCAAGGTGCAGGGCTGGAAGAAGATTGGCAGCCTCCTGTCGATCAGGACCTTTGCGATCGAGTGGAATCTGAAGTGACATGGCTTATGCAGGCGACTGCGGAGGGAAGGATGACCCAGGCCCAAGCCTTGGTCAAGGCTGAACTTCGTAAGGTACGGGAGCTCTTGAAGCAGCAACGTCGTGGTCTCCTTCGCCAGGGAATCCTCCAGGCAGTGAACAGTCATGGAAGTGATGGCTTTCAAATCTTCTTCAACCAAGTTGTCCGGGACATCTGGGAGGAACCCGTGGGGACAGGAGCGGTGGTTCACCTCCCAGAGGGCCTGGAGATGGACACAATGTGGATGGCGGAAATAGTGGACATGCTATGGGAACAGTATGTGCAGACGGCGTGCCCCGCGATCCGCCACGATATGGTGCCGCACCCTCCGCGCGGACCACCGCCGCCAAGACCGGTCAATGCCCCGCTGGGGTGGATGCCACCGTCAGAGGGCCCCGATGAAGAATCTTCGGAAGGTGAAGGGGGTTTGTCCAGCACGGCAACATCGTCGTCTTCTGACGACGAGGTAATGAGCGTGGTGCAGACGCAGCTCTGTAAAACCTGGGAGGAGTACTATGACGAGCCGAGTGTGGCCTGGCGAACCCGAGCCGTCGCCCTTCAAGCGGACATCGAGATGATGCTCAATAATATGGTGAGAAACGGAGAAGCAGGTGAAGCTTGTAAGGCGGCACGGACCATCCTCCGACACTTCAACGCGGAGCCTGATGTCACAGAGACGGCCTCACGAAAATGGGTGGAGGCCATGTTAAAAGGGATCTTGGACAAGTTCTCGCACCGTGTGCCTGACCCCGACAACTACGAGCTGGACGAAGACATGCAAGGCTGGTTGGATGGCACCCTGAAGGAGATTGAAGCCTGCTCGGCACTCAAGCACCGGGGGATTATGGAGTACAGGGAGCGTCTGGCCTTGAAAGCGACGACAGCGGGAAGAATCAGTCGCACTAGGGTTGTCGCCCCGTCGAAGTGGCGGCAGTTCTGGGAGTCGAGACTGCAAGGACGGACATGCGCCTGCAAATGAGGAAGAGGAGGGCGCGGTCTACCCCATGGCTGGCGGCAGCTCGGGAAGTCGAGACCGCCAGGATGCACCTACAAACGAGGAGGAGGATGACACGGTTGACCTCATGGCAGGCGGAAAGCCGCGAAGGTCCAGATCACCGGTGCGAAGGGGACGAGGCTCACATGGCACGGAATACGGAGGGAGCACGAGACGAGACAGGGAGATTGTGACCACCAGTACCAGGGTCCTGGAGCCGGCAGCACGGAGGTCGTGGACTCGCACCGAGGCTGCGGAGAGCAGTGGGTCCAGGATGGAGCCGGCGACGTCAAGAGAGGCTCGATGTAGTCGGGTGGTTCCGAGGGCCTCGAGGCCGGTGGACCCGGCTGCGCCGGCCGGGTTAACGGTGCCTGAGGCGGTCGATACGTGGAGACAGCTGCTGCACATTGCGGAGGACCATGGCATCGGCAACATGGATGAATCAGTTCAAAGGGGAGGGCCGGCTGTCCCGCGCAATATGGCAGACAACATGGTAGACACCCTGAGGGACATGGACAGACATGACATGGCCATCATGACCATCGGCCTTGTGGACCTGGTCCGCCGATTGATGGCCGAGTGCTCACAAGCGCTGGCCCATGCTGGGGAGGACATGATCGAAGTCGAGGTTGAACGCGAGGATACCACCTCCTTCATGCAGCGAAGCCTCACGGAATTCCGTGAACCGGTGGGTCCGACGGTTGAGATCGGTGTGGTCCAGGAGTTGCAGTGGGCTATGGAGGATGTGAATCGTGATGGAGTCCTAGTGACCCCGAGACTGGAAGCCCTCAGGATGCGGGCCAACAACTACCGCGAAGTCCATGGCGAATCGCCCCTGCTTTGTTCCCTCGAAGCTCTGCTTGTTGCTGAGGGAGATGGCGGGCATCTGGGGATGGCCGATGGAGTACTGAGTGCCGAAGATGATGAGTGGGTCAACCGGTGGTGGCATCGGATCCGGACGGCTATGACATCTCCGGGGTCAACGATGCGGAAGAAGAAGTTCACCAAGCTGAAATGGAGCAGCTGGCTGAGTGGCACCACGGCGCGAATGAGGCAGCCCGATGGCAGCAGTGGGACGACTGGGCTCTGTACGATGAACTTCATAGAGTGCAACCCCGCACCCGGCGACATCTTGAAGTGCGAGTGGGGCCAGCGCCGGGGCAGCCGGGTGTGGAGAAGCGACTGAAGGTCGCTCTTCCGCAACAGTCGGGAGAAGTGGTGATTAGATCGGTGCGGGTGGTGGAAGAGCAGTCGTCATCAGGCTCGGCGGCGTCGACGGTGGTCCGAGAGGAAGCTGGAGGAGCTGATGTCCCTGACGGCGGTGGAGGGGCTATGTTGTCCGTCGACTCTGTGCCTCACCAGCTTGACTTCAACACATATCTTCAGCAGTACGAGCGCTACCGTCGTGGAGAGATCGGTGAAAGCTATATCCGAGCCATGTGGGGAGAAGCTACATGGGACCTGATGCTAGCACAGGCTGCACTGGTGGACATGGAGGAACGTGAGCTGCGAGAGCCAGAAAACAGCGTGGAAATGGAGGCTGGGTCGCTGGCATCCCCTAACCAAGGAGATTGGCACGCACAGGCGGCACTGGAAGAGGTGGAGGTGGGAAAGCCGCAAGGGCCAGGGCTGAGTACGGAGACGGCGAGTTCGGCAAGTTCTCTGGGACAAGGGATCATGGAGTGGGGACAGGGGGACTATGACGATGCAGGGTATGCTGGGAGATCTGGCTATGAAGGAGACTCGGGGCAGGGTGCAAAGCGAGAAGGGCAAGACGACGTCGGTCACGAATGAGTGTGAGGCTAATGATACTTCAAGGGCCATGAAACTTGGCCAGACCAGCCTGCCCGAAAGGGCTTGAGACGCGTAAGCAGTCATCAAAAGGGCCCTCAAAAAAAAAAACCTAAACCCTAAACCCTAAACCCTAAACCCTAAACCCTAAACCCTAAACCCAAACCCTAAACCCTAAACCTTGTCAAAGGTTAAGGGTTTCAGCTGGAGGGCCCGCTTGCCCGTTCCCAGCCCTTGCGTCCTTTTGGAGCTTGAGGCCCATCATCTGAGTATGTGTGTCTGTATATATACACGCGCATAGATACACGTGTATACGCTATATCACTTTTTGATCTTTGTATATATCGACTTACTTGTTTGCTCATCCGATTGCTTCCTGCAATGTATAGGCGTACCTTTCTGTGTGTGCATATATCGTTTATATATATCGTTTATATATATATATACACGCATATACATACATACATACATACATACATACATACATAGATACAGACATACAGACATACAGACATACAGACATACAGACATACAGACATACAGACATAAGTACAAAAAAATATATATATATATATATATCTAGATATGTACACGTATAGACATGAAAATGTATGCGTGTCTGCGCTTCAACATGTATGTTCGTATGAGAAGGCCCCTCAATATCGTTCCCTTCCAGGCTCCTCTGCGCCATTGAGATCCAGCGCACGGAGGGTCAGCTGCCTCAAGACCGGCTAAAGGCCTGCAATTTGTTGCTTTTGGGTCTTTGGCTTTGGGATTTGGGTTTCGGGGGCTTGGACTTCAAGGGGTTAAGGAGTAAGTAAGGCAATGGTTTTGGGTTTAGGGTTCGTGTTTTGGGGTGTTAGCCTTAGCTCTGGGGTATTCGAGTTCGGTGTTTTCGGCTCAGAAAGGGATTAACAGCGCTTGACCGCAGATTTGCCAGTCATCAGGCTAACATAATGAAATCCCTTAACTTAAGCCTTTGCTTCTTACACCTGCGCGATCCTTAAGCCCGAAGACAAGTCATCAGGCTTGCTTGGTTGAAGAAGGAAAAGCCGAATTTAAAAGATCCTAACTAGATACTCATGTATATTGCCTGATTACCAGGGACGGTACTGGTCTCACTATGAACTCCCAACAGCCCCTCAACAAAATCCCAAGACAGCTCCTATCCACTAGAAAGACCTAAAAAGATGGTTGTATAGCCCTGCAACACCTGTATACAACCTTCGGGGCCCTCAAGAACCCTACATCATCCTGACGAAAACCTTATAAACCGCTAAACCCTAAACCCCTAAACCCCAAACCCTAAAGGCCCTAAACCCTAAACCCTAAAGCTGCAAAAGCGAAGTGTGCTCCCTTTTCAGGGATCGCCTCGTCGCAGTGAAGCGGAGAGGCTGGAGCCCTGGTGCTGCTATAAGGGGCCTTTATAAGCACCTACGCCATTTTTTGGGGGCGGGGGGTCCCTTATGGGGGTCCCTCCTATTGTCCCTTAAATAGCCGTCCTGATGGCAAGGGGCAGTCGGATGCTTCCGGTAGCGACTACCCGGCCGTTGGCTTTGGGCTGTTGTCTTGAAAACTACAGTTCCTATAGTCTCCATTGTAGTTCCTTTTTTTGGTTTAACCAGTTAAATATTAAGGATTCTATAACTATAGTCTCCATTGTAGTTCCTTTTTTGGATTAACCAGTTATATATTAAGGATTCTATAACTATAGTCTGCATTGTAGTTCCTTTTTTGGGTTTAACCAGTTATATATTAAGGATTCTATAACTATAGTCTCCATTGTAGTTCCTTTTTTGGATTAACCAGTTATATATTAAGGATTCTATAACTACAGTCTCCATTGTAGTTCCTTTTTTGGATTAACCAGTTATATATTAAGGATTCTATAACTATAGTCTCCATTGTAGTTCCTTTTTTGGGTTTAACCAGTTATATATTAAGGATTCTATAAGGTATCCCCAAAAAGGAGCTACGATGGAGACTGTAGGTGTTCTTCTTGGTGAGGGGTGAAGTCGGGGCCATGAGATTCATGGAGACCACGTAGCTTGTGGTTTCTAAGTTGCACGGTTTCGGCGTGGCGGGCCAGATGTCGGATTTGGTCGTTTTCTTCGCATTTGGGTGATGGGGGTCTGCAGTCTGCAGATACGAAGATCAACTCCCCCCCTAAACCCTAAACCCAATTCATGGCCGGGATTCGGCCAGGCAGGCGACGGAGCTGCTGATGATGTCGTCGCCTGGCTAGCTTTCGTAGTCGAGCGCGTTGAGAAAAGCCGGTGACATGAGATCTACACTGATGTAGGGGGCCTCAATAATTAGAATAGGGTTTTGGAAGTTCCTTACTATAGTTCTAGCATAATATACCTCAAAAACACTAAATCCTAAACCCTAAGCCTCAAAAACCCAAACCCTAAACCCCAAACCCTAAACCCTAAACCCCAAACCCTAAACCCTAAAACCTATTCTACTTGCTAAGGCCCCTATATTACGCTATCAGATCCCTACGAGCTCAAAGCCTGATTCCCCTTAAGGAAGAAGAGGAAGCGCAAATTTCGAAATTTGGGGTTTAGGGTTTAGGGGTTTAGGGGTTTAGGGGTTTAGGTGTTTAGGGGTTTAGGCTTTAGGGGTTCAGGGTTTAGGGTTTAGGGGTTTAGGGTTTAGGGGTTTAGGGTTTGGGGCCACTCCCAAATTTAAGAAAGTCACTGATAAAGTTCCTCTGTGCCACAAAGCTTGGGC